AGTAAACTCTGGAGTTTGCAGGTAAAATTGATTTTAAATCTCTTACAAAGGGTTTTTTCTATTCAAAATTGCATATGCATAAAATTTATAATGATTTTATATGGTAATCAATTGTTTAATAGTAGTATACCTTTTTTTTTAAAACAATGAAATGGATATTTTAAGCCTATAAAGGAAGTTTTTAAGGAAATTTTCATTTCGATTAAATTTTTTAATCTCCCTTTGTGCTATTAAAATGAAGTGGAAATCTCTAAGATTATCAATAAAATAGGTATCCTTTGAGTATTGACCCCCATATGCTAAAGAAATTTGATTAAATTTTCTTAGGTTTAATGTGTAAATTACTATTGAATTTGGCATACCTAGCTACATTCCTATTTTTGTTGAAGTGGGGATGTTATACTATATGTTGAATATGAGTGAACGCCATCCCATGTGTTCTTAGCTACACTTTTGCACATTAAAAATCCTTTCATCCTAAATTTACTACATCAAAACCCGTACATGCCTTGCTCTAATAAGGTTAGAGCCATAGTCGACACCAAGCACCAAACTTTAAACACCCCCACTTATGCCCAACCTCTAACACCTATCCTTGACATCCATATTACAACATTAACTAACAACCCAATCTCTTTAATTGACTCTATTTCAATCATGTCTCATAACCTCCTCAAGGTTTATGATACACCTAAAATATATAGTGTTTTTAGACGTATTTTTATACCAATTTTTGAATTGCGCTTTAATTGAAGATATTTGTGTATTTTTCTTTCAGGTACAAGTAAAAAGGTGAAAAATGCTAAAATGAGTGAAAAAAGATCAAATTTAGAGCAAAGAGGTGAAAATTATGCTAAAGTGTTTTGGCGCCTAAGAGCCAGATCCGGCGCTTAAGCGCCGGTTAAAAAGAGAAGGCTGTGCCTAAATGCCAGAGGCCCCACGCTTAAGCGTCAAAGACAGTTATTTGGCGGTTTTCTCCATTTGGCCGAATTTTGAATAGGTATTTGAGGCACCTATTGGCTAAAGAGGGTGGTTATGACCACTAAGAACGAAAATATTATTAAAAGATTTGTGAAAGGAGGCATCCCTTGGAGAATACATCAAATCTGGACACATTTTGAAGAGTTTCCAAGGCACCGCTTGGAGAGTTATAAAAGAAGGGAGTTGATAGAAAAAATGGGGGAGTCCTGAGAAGTTTTTGAAATAGCTTGAAGTCCCGAAAGTGCTTAAAAAGGGAGAGATTTTCAGACACCACATAAAAATTTACTTTATCCTTTTTGTTTTTAGTTTTATTTGGAGAGTTAAGAGTGTTTTAAAAGAGAAGAGATTCAAAGGAACTTCAAGAGTTTGGTGGAGGATTTGAGATAAATTTTTATATTTTATTTTTAAACTACTTTTGGTTTTAATCGAGACTTCTTGTTGGTTTGATAATGATTTCTACTCTTAAACGAAAGTGTAATTTTGTTTTCTCCATTGATTTTGAATAGTTTTCATTATCTTTCTTCTTAAAATGATAAGCAATTAAAGTGTTGGATGGAAGTTGTAGAGAGTCTTGATCTTTAATGTTGGAATAAATTGTGATGATTTAAATCAATGAACTTCATTTACTTCTTGATTTCGCCTATCCAAATATTAAAATTTATTGTGAGAACATGTAAGAACCGGGCTAGTATTGTCTCAGTCAACAATTGGAAAGAATCACATGATGTTGTATGAATGAGAATGTAATTCATATGATTCAATGCAAATAAATAGGGAAATAATCATTGAAGGGTGTAGAGTTAGAGAACTTTAAAGTGATAGGTTAAAGCCACCAACTTGGTTTATTGTTTTAGGTTCTGATACGAGATGTTAGCCCCCAGGTGGAGGAAATCGAGGGAACTCTAGAGTGAGAGCTAGTATTTTTCCTGCCTAGCCGGTTTTCAAAACTATTCAAACTTTAAATTAGTCAAAGTTTATAATTTCAAAACTATTTAGAGTAAAGAATAAAATTGCTCATATTTGGCACAACACAATTTGCATACTACCACAACAGGATTCCTATGCTTATTACTGATTCATGATAAGAAGAAAGTTATTTTCAAATATTTTTTCAAATTTAGTGTTTTTTTTTACATAAACTCAAGTTATCTTTTTAAATTGTTATTGTTTTATTAAAATATCAAAAATACCAAAAAGATTTGAATTTTAGTTACTATGAATACATCTCTAGTTTAAGTAATTGTTTTTTTAAATAGAAAGTTTGTTGTTCAATAAAGCATATTGCATAATTTTCCTATGGGTTCAATATTCAGATCTTAATCAAAAAGTCATATATTAATTGATAACGATATTTATACTTGTGTATTATCTCAATATATATATAAATTGAAAATTTAAATTCTTCTTTTCTTCAGGATCAAGTTTTGACTCTGTAGCAAAGTAAGGAAATATAAGTGAAAATATAATCAGAGACATTGTTATACTGTTGCATATAAACAGTCGGGATCAGTTTATACCTTTAGTCATTTTCCCTCGGATCCTCATTTATTCAATTCAAATCTTTCTTCTCTTTTAATTTTGACAACCATTGAAGTGTTTTATCCCAAACTTCAAAACCAAGGGGAGGGAGAAACACAGTCATTATAGTAAGTTTTGAGTTTTATAAATATTTTTTTTATTGGAAAGTTCGTGGTATTAATGGTGTCATAGAGTAAGTAATTTTAGTAAACTTGCTAAAGAATTAAATCTAGATGGAATTTGCTTTATTAAGACAAAGCTTTCTTCTATTGTCATGGTTGAACCCCTGCCTTACAATCATTTCATTCTTTTTTTTAGAAAATACTACAAATAATTTTTTTTAATGCACTTAATAGTTGTCTTATTTTGTATTAGATCTGATAAAGCTCTCGATCATGAAGTCTCCACTTCTTGCATTCTTGTTGTCAAACATTTTTTTTCCAATCATATGCTCTCCAACAGAATCAAGCATCTGCAATAATGCTTATGCTTAAATATTCTCATTTTGAATCTCTCAGTGATTATAAACGTATCTCTTTATGCAATATTAATTACAAGCTCATTGTAAATATCAAATTGTTGCTTCCAAATTTAATTGACCCTTTACAATCTGCTTTCATTGATAATCAAATTAGAGAAATTAGGAGTGATGGGGCTTGTAAATCAGGAAAAAAATTGATTGCCAAATTTTATTATATTTAATAGCTCCATTTGGTTGGATTTTGGTCACCTTATTGAAGACACACCCATTAGAGTTTCTCAATGCAATTGCTTATAGAAAGGGAAAACTATGTTATCTAATCATTGTATTTACTCCATTGCTTATGATAGCAACTATAAAATCAATTGGAGCAAATTGATCTAAATTAAGGATTGCTCTTCTAAATACATTATTATAGATTGGGAAATTCCTATTAGTGGTAGAAAAATTAAGGATATTTTCTTATTTTGAAAGAAACCGGTCAATCCTTGATATGCGCTTGGCTTTGGTCATAATAAAATCCACTCCTACTTATTCTTTAAATGTCCCTGCTCCCTGTAGCTTATTAAGTTATGTATACCTAGTGAAAACTTCTTTCATATTGGATGTGATTTGGCATAGGTTTTGGTAAATGCTAACTCTTTTACGGGTAGTATCACAATAATTTTTTTTATTGATAGCTCATATTACTGCACATTATATATGGTTGGAAAGATAGTCTAGAGTCTTCAACAATATCAAGAACCCTATTGAGGTTCTTTTCAATAAATCAAATTTACTATTAATTGGAGAGAAAATTGAAAAATACATAATGAGTCAACTTCTTTTATATCTTTTGTATACTTTTAATATGCAACTTTTTGTTTTCTTCATTTTCTCCCATTTAAAAATGTCTTGTCTAGGTTATGTGCTCTTTCATTACTCTCATTATAGCAGCTATTTATACTAATTACACTACTGGGAGTTTTGTCTCATTGTAATTTTTATTCAGATTCACTCTTTTGATATAAATTATTAAAAGCTCTCAAATAACTTACTATGATCCTTTAAACTTAGCTTGTTCTTTCATTTATGGATTTAAAGCTTCATGGTCCCAACAAGTTTCTTTGGTCTTGCTTGCTAGAATAATTTTGCTGCATTTTTTTTCCTAAAAGTCTAACTTTTTATGCATATATAAGGTTGTCTTTATGTTTACTAGTTCATTTTGGATCTTGTTTTACCTTCTTATAGATAGTCTACTAAGGTTGGATTCTCAATTATATTAAATCTCATGTTTTGATTTAAATGGTTGTTTCATTGGGCTCTTATTCATGTATGAGCATTCGTTCAGGTTCATTCTATAAGTTCTTTTGGTTGAGCAACAAATACTACACTTCCTTAGCCTTCTTTTGGGAACCCGATTAGTTCTTTCTTTACAATTTAACATTTCTAAGCTAGTTATATGATTACTAAATAAACTCTCGGCAATATACTACGTTTTTCTCTATTTTTAGAAAGAATAATGATGAAAATCAGAACTTAAGAGACTCAACCAACTATCTTAAGTGAGTATTGTAGTTTTGGAAAGCTTATACCGGCATACTTGTGATTTTTTAGTAGATTAAAATTATTTTTTTTTATAGATGCCCCTGTATGCCCAAACATGATATTTCTTCACACTATTATTGAGCTCCCTCTTAGCTACGGCTCATTTTGATCCTAGGATTGACATAATAGTACCACTATTATTCCATATGCTTCATGGTTTAGATAGCTTTGGAAGGAGCCCAATGAGTTTACATTTGGTCTACTTTGAGATCTTTTTTTTTTTTTGCTTTACAAGATATGTTTGTAATCCCAATAATCTAAAACCTTTGTTATCATATTTTTTTAATCATAATATGAAGCTTAGCATGACTCTCAATTTGCTCAAGAAAAAACAATAATATATATATATATATATATATATATATATATATATATATATATATATATATATAGATATATAACCTAACCCAAACAGCTTGGCCTTCTAGCAGTCACGACCTTCCAATTGTGGCAAAGATAACACAAGATAAGAGAAATTTTATTTCTTTTTTTCTTTATTATTTTCACACTGAGGTTTGATTTTCCGCTTTTACTTTTCGTCAGTAGGATTTCCATCCAAGCCGCTTTCTCCCAATGCAAAAATCCCCGGTCGCGACATGCCCGCCGCCATCCGTCGCCGAATCGACACCTTCCCTCTCCCTCCATGATTTCCACTCCCCCCACTCTTCTCTATCTGTTCGCTTTCATCGTCTCCGTCTCCGGATGCCTCCCCGGCGAGAGAACAGCGCTTCTCCAACTAAAGCAAAGCTTCTCCTTCTCAAAGCTCGAATCTTGGCAGCCGAACACGAACTGCTGTCAATGGAGCGGCGTCCTTTGCGATAATATTTCCGGTAATGTCGTCAATCTCGATCTCAGCTCTCAATACTTATCGGGTAAGATTGATTCGAGCCTCTTCAATCTTACTTCTTTACGTGCTCTCAATCTCGCCTTCAACCTGTTCTACGGAAGTCCGATTCCAAGTTCTGGATGGGAAAAGCTCGGGAATCTCACGCATCTGAATCTTTCCAATTCGGGATTCGAAGGGCAAGTCCCCATCGGCATCTCTCGTCTCAGAAATTTGGTTTCTTTAGACCTGTCTTTGTATGCTTATGCTGGTTTGCTGGAGCTCAGAGACCCGGATCTCGGAACTCTTCTCCAAGGGCTCGGGAGGCTTAGGGTGCTCTATCTCGATGGAGTGAACATCTCTGCAAAGGGGGAGGAATGGTGTGGAGCTTTGGCTGTATCGACTCCCGAACTTCAAGAGCTGAGCTTGGAGGACTGCTCGCTCACCGGCGGCATTGGATCTTCATTATCAAAGCTTCGATCTTTGACAATGCTTGATCTTGAAGGGAACACTCTGAACTCCACTGTGCCTGATTTCTTTGTCAATTTTACTTCTTTATCTGTGCTGCGGTTAGGTTACTGCGGGCTTGAAGGTTTGTTCCCCAAAGATATATTTCAGCTGAAGAATTTGACGGTTGTTGATCTGTCCATGAATCCAATGCTCTCCGGATCACTTCCAGATTTCATAGAGGAAAGCGCTCTGGAAAGTTTGGTGCTTTCTCAAACAAATTTTTCAGGATTTTTACCTGATTCCATTGGAAATCTCAAATCGTTGAAAATATTAGTTCTTTCAAACTGTCATTTCTCCGGAAAAATACCATCTTCAATCTGGAACTTGACTCAGCTGATGAATTTGGACCTCTCCTCTAATAATCTAAGTGGTCCGATTCCTGCTTTTCATCCATCTTCATCTTTACCCGATATATTACTCCCACAAAATCTGATTTCAGGTTCGATCGCTACAGCTTATCGAGGGAGGGGACTTCAAAATCTTACAAAACTTGATCTTCATGATAACTCACTTTCAGGACCAATCCCTGAAACTCTATTTAATCTGCCTCAGTTGCAGACATTGCTGCTTCGGCAGAACCTGCTCTCCGGCCAACTTACTGAGTTTTCAGAAACCTCTTTGTTGAATAATGTTGATCTTAGTAATAATAACCTCCAAGGAAATATCCCATGGTCACTTTTCCAGCTCTCTAGACTCAAACTTCTCTCCCTTGCTAACAACAACTTCACTGGTTTTTTCCAGCTGAACTCCATCCTTCCTCTCAAGAACCTCTTAAATCTCGATTTATCAAACAGCGGATTGTTCTGTCTGGATGAAGAAAGCGACAGCTCTTCCTTCTCTTCATTCCCCATGATCAACTCGTTGAAATTGGTTAACTGCAATCTAACCACTATACCACTTTTCCTGAAGCACCAAGTTCAGATAAGCTCACTGGATCTCTCCCAAAACAGCATTACTGGTGATATACCTGGCTGGATTTGGAGTGTTGGGAATGGAAATCTCATGAACCTGAACCTCTCTTATAACTCATTCACTCGTGTCGTAGCGCCTTCTTTTAATCCCCCCACGAACACTTCCATGAATCTCGACCTCCACTCTAACAAGCTTCAGGGACCAATTCCTCTACCCCCACCGAATACCATTGTTCTTGATTACTCAGATAACATGTTCTCATCATCTATCCCTCACAACCTTTCCTTGTACCTCAACTTCACCTTGTTTCTTTCTCTTGCAAACAACTCTCTCATTGGGGAAATCCCATCTTCGCTCTGCAATGCATCCTTTCTCTACATCCTCGACTTATCCAACAATGCTTTAACTGGTTCTATTCCACCATGCCTCATGGGAAATGAAATGGATCTCCATTTTCTGAATCTTAGAACGAACAAGCTTCAAGGCTCCATTCCTTCACAAATTCGAGAAAAATGTAACTTTCAGACAATAAATTTCAACGGAAACCGCCTCGAAGGCCAGCTTCCTCGCTCACTGGTTAATTGTCGTTCGCTTGAAGTTCTAGACTTGGGGAACAATGAATTGGCAGACACATTTCCTGAATGGTTGGGAAATATTTCCTCACTCCTCATTCTTGTTCTTGGATCAAATAAACTACATGGGCCTGTCAGATTTTCAACAGACAGCCATGGAAGAAGAAATTCCAGCTTTCAAGCGCTGCACATCTTTGATATCTCATCCAATAACTTCAATGGCAGTTTGTGTGCGGAATGCTTCAACAATTTAAAAGCGATGATGATGAGAAGTAATGAGGATTCAGTGAACTCAGCTGTTGGCCTTGAGTATTTGAATTTCAATACAAGTAACTATGCTGATGTGATAAGTATCACCATCAAAGGAATCCAGATGAACTTGACTAAGATTCTGAGCATCTACAAAACAATTGATTTCTCGAACAATAATTTCGATGGAGAGATCCCGTCGGCGATTGGAAACCTGAATTCTCTATACGTGCTCAACATGTCTGCAAATGCTTTGACAGGCCCCATTCCTCATCAGCTCGGTAAACTGGCACAGCTCGAGTCGTTGGATCTCTCGAAAAACCATCTCTCCGGCAAAATCCCTCAGGAACTGGCTTCTTTAACATTTCTTTCTGTTCTGAATCTCTCCTACAACAATCTGGTTGGAAAAATTCCTGAAGGTGGCCAGTTTTCTACATTTTCGAACGAATCATTTGAGGGAAATGAGGGTTTATGTGGGATTCCTTTAACAATTCTTTGTAGAAAAAACCCAAATGCTAAACCTTTTTATGAACCAGTTGGAGTTTCGACTGAGCCCAGCTGGGAATACATATTTACAGGTCTGGGATTTGGGGGCGGCTTAGCCATGCTTATGGGAACTTTAATGGTGTGGGAAGAAGGAAGAAGATGGCACTTTAACTGGATTGATAATGTGTTAGATACCATTGCTCCATTTTACAGGCTTAGAAATGGTTGTGGAGATGGTAGGGTTAGTGATATGGATGTAAGAGAAGATGACTTTGAGGAGGAGATCACTGAGGCAGTAACAAGAAGAAAATTTTGTGTTTATTGTACAGAGTTAGTTTTCTATGATGATGGAATGAAAATACAATTTGTGGACTGTGATTGCCACTTTGATGAGAGGTAATTTAGGATCTGGTTGGGGCAGCTGCAATTGTTTGAAGGAGCTGTGAATTCGATGTTGTTATTTTAAGAAATAACTATGAAGCTGCTGTAGAAGAAGTTCAAAAATTTGTGGTGGCTATTACAAAAACTTTTTTTTTAAAAAAAAAGTCAAATCGCAGCTATCTAGATATCGCTGCATTTAGCCGAGTCCAATTGCAAAACGTAGCTTTCCACACTTCTGCCCCCAAACGCACCCACCCTTCGTCTTTTTTAAGCAATCTTTGTACATAGGTGTGTTATTGAATAAATTTATTTTATAGTTATTCACATAAATCATAGAGCAAGGAAGAAAAAGAATCATTTGGTCTTTGCCTATTGTAACCGTTTTGAGCTATGTATATAATGTTTCTTATGTTGTTGTCAATCAAAGAAATATTGTTTGTAATTAAGTTTTCAGATTAATTTTTATAAATTTGATCTGGGTGTAAACTCCTATTCAACACGGTTAGCTTGTGTTTTGAGTCAAATCTTTAAGTTTGAACACGAAGACTTTGACTTTTGAATATTGAACTCATACATCATCAATTTATGTTGGTTAAAGAAGTGATGAGCTTTTTACCTAGTGGCATTTTACTTAGAATTTAAGTTATGTTTGAGGATTTTTTTTCTTATAAAAATAGTTAAAATAATTAAATATACTCATCTTACATATATTTTTTAATTTGTATTTCAAGGAAATATTAAAAAAAAAGATTTAAGATATTTTTAATAACTTGGAAAAATAAAAATTTAATCCTGCTCGCTTCTCTTTCATCAATCACATCGATGCACTCAATTCCTATATATTTAGGTATTTAATCCAAACTTCAATTTATACGTAGATATCACAATACTTGTATATGAGAAGGGTGTATTTCAATAATTAAAATTTAAAATAATAATATTTTTTTTATGTGATGTGAAAATTTTGGGTGGCATCAACTATAAAAAGATAAAGTATCAAAATAGTATCTGACTATTTATACAGGGCTAATTTACTCTGCCGTTTATAGAAGTGTCAGCATAGTTCTTAAATTCTTTTAAAATTATGATTGATATAGTACCCATAGAGAATTATAAGAACTCAATATAAAAATAAAGAGGGAATTATGTTGTTACTTGTATAAATTATAGGATTAAAACGAACCCATATAAATAATCGAAAACTATTTTGGCACTTTATTCATATGTAAGAAACAAAACTTAGGTGTTATACTTGTACATACATATGAATTGAATGATATATATATATATGTAAATCTCTTTAATTTCTAACTTAGTTGTCACTAATTTCATATATATATATATAAATCTTACTATCAATAAAAATGATTAATTATATAATCTTAAGTCTATCTCTTTGCTCACGAGCGACTATAATCATCAAAGTGTTAGAAAAATATAACGAAGCAGCAGACTAAATAAATTGTTTTTTTGGTCTTTGCTTTAGCCATGTACATAATGCTAGTTGGAAACGACCGGCGGCGACTGGGAAATAGCTGTGCTAACATCCAAAACAAAATTGACTTGACAGCCAATTACCTAATTTTTTACACATTTCTCATTCATTGAATAGTGAGAGCCAAATTGGCTCTATGATTGAAGTGATTAAGCAGAGATAAGAAAATAGATCAAATTTATAAAGGGCTTTAATTTATTGAAAAAGAAATAAAATGTAAAAAAATATAAGGTATTATTGCATGCAGGAAAATTCGTATAAATTCATGACAATAGAGTGATTGTTTAACATCTTAGTATTGCACAAAATATAATACAAATAGATGAAAGAGAAGAAACACCAAAATTTTTTACTTGAAAATATGGAAAAGGAAAAATTCGCAAGGCTTGGTCCCATTAAAATAATCCATTATATGTGTGTAAGTGTGAGGTTGCGCATTTCTTTTGCAACTATGAGAATGGGATTTCAGATTTACACTAAAAATTACACTTGTGGCTTGTTGACGACAAGTGGTGTTTGACGGTCGCAGACAGACAGTGGTCGAAATTGGTTAAGAAGGCTGATGGATATTGTCAGGTTTTCTCTCCAAACAGGCTCTAGAATTCATGTTCTCCTGCTTCTCCCCTCAAGTGAAGAAAGGAGGTCAATTTATGGTCTATTGGCAAAGGGCATTTAGTCTTTTGCTGAATAGTTCCCCCAATCACATGATTGGACTATCTATATTGGTCTCCTTCATAATATAGATTTTTGTAATGATTTAATAGCCCTAATGACCTTAGGATTCGGTGATCTCAGACTTGTTGAATTTCTCTCATCGAGACAATCGATTTGATGATAAATATGTCAAATTTAGAGTTCATTTGACCTCTCGATTAACAATCCAAAGCCTCTAAATATGTTTTAATGGCTTGGTCTGAACTTGGTTGCATCCAAATTGAATCAACTTTGGAATTACTACGTTCGTCTTGTTGAGGCGGCCAATTTAACTATAAACTTATTAGAATCGGGACTCCGGAAGATCTTGAATTTGAATCAAAAATATTTATTACTAAAAATAGCTCAAGATTTGCGCCGTACGATAAAAATTTCCTAATCATGCATCGTACAACAAAAATATAGTGTATTTAAAATTATTTATAGTTATTTAATTTGATGTAAAAGAAATGTAGGAATTTATATTTTATGTTTGATTTGAAAAGAAATGAAATTAATGTGAACCACGGCCAGTGATTTTGACGGGTTAAGTAACATGGTAAATGAAGAATTTAAAATACAAGTGTTAAGTAACATGGTAAATTTCAATACTGACTAAAAGGTTTACATTGCATTTTCATTTAATTTACACCACCAAGTCAGGCAACTAAATAGCAATCTCAATCACATTATTTTATTATTATTATTATTATTATTATTATTGTGATTTTTCAAGAGATAAAAGAGAAAATGAGACTTAAACGTACACCTAAATACTCATTAGGCTAATAAGTTCAACCAGTCTCCTTGATTAATACAAATTGAATAAGAGGCTAATAAAAGTAGCAATGTAAAATGTAAGACTTTTGTCCAAAATGAAATTATCCAAAGTAATTAAACCCAGCTTACTGACCCAAAGGCTAAGCAACTCACCCAAGTTTTGAAGTTACCTGAAAACTCAACAAGCCTATGATAAGTTGGTGAATGAAGCTACCAAAAATAGTCTGTTGTTCATGAATAGTTTATGTTTGATTCCTTAAGGAGCTTGTGTTTGAATAGTTTGTTAAGTGAGTCAAACACTATCAATTTTTTTAACTCAAATTACAAACAAGCCGAACACAAACAACCCTTTATTCGATCATGTTCGGCCCATTTTAACCCGAATAAAGAATTTATATTTATTATTTATATAATAACATATTTTATATATTTATATCTTGATCGTGTTTAGCTCAAAATGATATATAACAACATATTCTCCAACATTAAATCATCACAGCTCGTGGTCATGTGATTTTGTCTTTTATTGCATAAGAATAGTGCATATTCAAATTGATTACCCTCCATCTATTTTTTAATTAATTTAAATAAGTTAATTCAGCACGAACGTGAGCTAAAAACAAACACGACCTGATTGTTCACAAGTCATTTTGAACACGTGTAAATTTCAAACAAAATAATATATATAAACAAGTTGAACAGAAACATATGAAGACTATTTAAATAAAAATTTATATATAAAAAAAAAAACCTTCACAAGAATATATTCCACACTATGAATATTTGTATATTTAAAGCCATCCTTTCACCTAAACATTTAACTGATCCGAATTTGAAATCTGATATTACAACTAAGAAACGATAAATTTTGGCTCAGCATACTTCAACTGAACAGAAATCAAGAATAGTTTCTTATCATAAAATTAATTTGAAGGATTTGCATATATATCACATAATTCTTATATATTTATATATCCAGCACCAACATTTTGATATTTACTTTCATAACACAAATTTTAATTCACATCAAATGCCCCACAAATATTAACTTTTTAAAATAAAATGCACATTAAGATCTTGATATTTACGTTTATAACACTTCAGAATATCATTACACATCAAAATGCAAGTACAAAAAGTAGTCCTTCACTAACATGACAATTGTTTGGTATGTATGTAAATCCCCCCCCAAAATTTTTATATTTAACATGACCGAGAGCTCTTAGATCTATCATCTCTATCAGGTCCAGAGGACGAAGGCTCGCCAACAGAATCTGGGAAGGAAGGAGATGGCAGAAGTTCCTTCTTAAGAGAGGTTTGCATCCCTGAAATTTCCTGAAAAATAATTTTGATTTTTATGATTGAAGATGTGTTACATATAACGGATAGATAAATCACGACAAGAATAAAAATTGGAACACTAAAGTGGTTGGGTGAGGCAGAGACTTATAAGAAGCAGGCAATGAAATATTGGTCCATTCCATTGAGAATAGGAAGAGTTTATATACAAAACCACTCGCTTCCTATGTATTTACATATCTAAAACAAGAATTTTGATTTTACATATGTATACCACCTTACAAATGTATGAAAAGGCGTATTTCTTAAAAGTTATAAGAGTGGTATTTTCGATGTGAGATGAAAGATTTGGGTGGTAGAGATGTAAAAAATAAAATTCAGGTGTTTGATATGCAATGCATGAGAATTGAGTGATATGTATGAAAATGCCCCTCGATAATATTGGAAGAGAGATGCTTTGGAAACTTAAGGTGAAGTGACCTGAGGTCGAGCAAATTTTATGCTCGATGAAGATTTTAAGTTCAAACTTAGTTGAACAAAAGGTTTGGTTGACGAAATATTTTTCTAATAAGTACAAAGAATATATTTAAAGTGATATGCAGTTCTTTTTTAGTTCGGTTTTTGAATAGAACTGATAAAAGCAATTTATTCAATGGAGCCATCATGATCATAGTCGTTGTAATCCGTCTTTTGATTAAGAAACTCGATGCAACGAAGCCATTTATTAATTGAGAATTATTCGGCTTTTAACATGATTATTTTGTTGTTAAAATGATTGATCTCATGTTTTAGTTCATTGATAGTTATAAAGGATACTCATTTCTTTATCAAGAGATTTTCTATAGAATTCATGCATAGTGTGAGCTTGAATATCCCTAGAATTTTTAGGTTTTCTTGAAGACATAAATAATTTTTTCTCAAATTTAATAGTTGAATTATAAGTTTTTTATTAGTTCATCCTTCTCATAATCTGTTGATGAGTAGAGATCACATTCATCTCAACTATTGTAATAATTTGTTTAAGAACAATTTTCACAACAATTACTGAATTTGAATTCAGAACTAGGAGCTATTTTTTCAAGGGAATCTCAACTTGATTGCTCATAATTAAAAAAAGACTCCATTAAAGTATTGTTTAATCATTCATCAATTTCCAACTGATTGTGTTTTTTTCAAGGAAATCTCAGCATGGTGGCTAATCATGCCACATCGATAGCATTTTATGTTAGCCCTTTTTTTTTCTCTTTCCTTAGGCTTGAGAGAATTCACGCTTAGAGGATTCCTCTTGCTTGATAGAACACATTTCATTTTCATGTTTTATCAAAAAAAATTCTCAAATTTTCTTTTTTAGAGTATTTTCCTCTAGAGGGTCCGTCAAATGCGAATTATTCACAGAAGACTCCTAATGCTTTCTTTCCATAAGCCATTCTATTTTTAGTTGGAACAATTAGATATCACTACACAAATCTAAAACTTCCTGTCAATAAGTTTGCCTTAAGAATAAGCATCATAAGGTATATGTTATTTTGACCCTCAATTATTGAACTAAGGTAAAATGACACTTTTGTAATGTGGTACCGCTCACCTACCACATCTCACATACCGCTCACCTACCACATCTCATCTACCTCCCACCTACCCCTCTCTTGCTTCTATAAATAGAGAGGGTGTGAGGCTTAGGAGAGCAAGGGAAGAGAACTTAAGCTACCACAAAGGAGGAGAGAATAGCTAGAGAGTTAGAGAGGAAAAAAAACATCTTGAGACCTTGTATCAAGGTGTCGCTTGAGAGGGAGGTCATAGAAAAAAGATGATGGCTCATTTCTATGTATAAACTATGTATTCTTCATTTTTTTTTGCCTTAGTGAACTATTTGATTGATTCCCTCCCGTGGAAGTAGATCCAATTGGATCGAACCACGTAAACGATTTGAGTTTGCTTGTGTTCTTTGCGTTTCATTTATATGTCAGAAAGTACATATCTCACAATAATTGGGGTCATCTGTGGGAAGATCCATACTTCTTGGCTAAAGGTGTCCGCATAAAGATGTTCGCGGCCAGCGACGAAGAAGAGGAGTTCGACATTCACGAACAGAGGAGCAAGTGGATCGCGTCGCAAGCAGCCGAATCGCGACAGATTCGGTGAGCAGTGGAAGCTTTGATCGACTGGATTCGCACCGCAGGTTGTGCGGTT